ACAAGGTCAAGGGTCTAGTAGGTTTTTTAACATTACTACTCCTGTAGTTGCACCACCAAGTGTGGGGTTTTCCAAGCAAGACAGGAATTATTCTGCTTCAGCAGCAAGTCACTTTATCAGGTTTCTCATAATGTTTAGAGAAGACCCTCTGTACCCTGTGCCAAAATGGTTCCAATGGTTCATGTAGTGAAAAAGCTGATAAAGCTTTAGGCGTTTCTCAAACCCTGCAGCTTTGGGAATTTTACTGTGATAAGCAGAGTAAAAAGAACCGCTGAAGCCACCAAACATCCCAGCTATTGCAAGCTCATACTCTGAATGGCCGTAGAAAGAAGCCGGATCGAAGATAATTGGACCAGAATCATCCTCAGCTACATTTCCTCCCCAGAGATCTCCATGCAGGAGAGCAGGAACAATTTCTACATCACAGAATAAACTGGGTATCTTCAGCTGCAGAGGGAAAAAAGTAAGACGCGTAAGTACTATACTTTAAGGTGAGCGATTGTAGAGTTTTATCGGTATACACGTAGAGCATGAAGTGAAACTTCTTAAAAGTCAGTTAAAAAAAAAAGTGACTTGAAACAACATAAGATCTAGTCAACAGAGGTGCTGAGAAAATCCAGAGGATTTCTATATTTCATAAAAGCCAGCAGCTGAAGAGTAGCCATCCAAATGCTTTTTAGCACTAAGAAAAAAAAAAATTTAAAACTGCATTCAATGCTGCAATATCAACCAGATTTAATGATAACGATGACAACAACCACAACCACCCACTTCTTCATTAGAAGGCTGAGGAATCTCTCACCAACCTTGAAGGGATTTCTACAAAGTAGTATCCAAATAGCTAATACTGCAGTCACTTAATCAGATGCAAGCCTTAAATGAAGAGATGATGTGCAGAACAGCACTGCTTGCATGCATTTCTCATCATGAACATGTTACACGGAATGAGAAACGTGAGCTTGGTCTAGTATTTTCCAAACAGTAAGGCAAAGTACTATTTGGCACACATTCACTTTGGAATATTAGCACAGAGTGATGTGGCAAAACCCGTTACACTTTAAAATAAAGGGCATTTTAATCCCTGAAAGCTGGAGTCTCTTACCAACAGAACCTGGAGCATATCGACAAACAAGAACTTTGTTTTGTAAAAAGAACATCTAAACAACTGATACCCAGCTATCACTATAATGAGAACTGAGATAATTTCTCCTACCTGAAGTTGTGCCCAAAGTTCTCTTGCTTCCCTGTCTCCCGAATTCTTTTCAATCATGTCCATCTGAGGCTGGATTCTTTGCTTGGCAAAGAAAGTCACCCAGTCACTCTGCCAGTCGTTCACCTGAAGGAATAGGATGGCAGATATGAGTTCTACATCACACAAAAGACAAATTTTCTTCTTTTTCAAATAAAGCTTTAGAGGACTATACAGCCTTTGTGCTGACAACATCCAGGACAGTAATTTAACAGAATGTTATCTTAAACCAGTAAATTAGGGGAATAAATAATTTTCTAAGTGATAAAAAAAATAAAATGGAACGTTCAATGCAGCTGTAAGTGCTGGCCAAAGCACTACTTTCCTTACTGGCTGAACAATGTTGTTTTTTTCTATAACTCAATAGAAATAAATTAATTTCCATTATGATAATTTTGGCCCTTTGTGTCACTCAAGGGAAAATAAGAGAAACTTAAATTCTATCAGTTGGATGAAGTACAACCTACCTGTGGAAGATAGCCACAGCAGGTAACTGTATGAAAGCCAAATTGATCCACAAACTGGACTTCCATTTGCCCTTGACCTTTACCTTTCAAATCAAAGACAAAAATCCAATACTAATGACAAGATTCTAAGTATCTGCAATGCAAATGGACCTTAAAAACTATGCAAGGGTGCAACGCTGAGAATTCTTTTTTATTCTACTGAGAATAAAAAAAATTGCACCTTAATACTCTTTTGTTACAGTGGTTGTTACTGGTGGTTTTTAAGTTTAAAGCTTGATGTAAAGAAGCTATATTATAATCTTCATAATTTTATTTTGAGGTAGTGTATCTCCTCTGATACCACATCCTTGCAGAAACTGTGGTTCGTGCTCCCAAGGGTCCCAAATTGAATAAACATTTTGCTTACAGAGATCCAAACAGAGCAAACAAAAGCAAAAAGAAGACTCCCTGCCTGGGTGTTCGCGCAAATGTATTTTCATCATATCCTTAGTGGAAGAAGACAAACTTATCCTGAAATAACAAAAGCTGTTTTAACTGTTTTGTAGATTATTATTAACTAGGTTAAATTTGCAAACAGCTATGCATCATACCAACTGTGCTCCCTTCTTTCTTCAGCTTCTCTCCAAGTTGTTGGTTATGAAGGTGGAGATCGGCCAGTTGTGCTCCAAGCTTTGCTGAATGTCTAAGAAACAAAAGTACTCTTAGCAACACTGACACAATCCGGTTCCTGATATTCCAGGAGTTCATAGAATCACAGAACGGTTTGGGTTGGAAGGGATCTCAAGGACCATCTAGTTCCAATCCCCCTGCCATGGGCAGGGACACCTTCCACTACACCAGGTTGCTCAAAGCCTGCTCCAACCTGGCCTTGAACACTGCCAGGGATGGGGCATCTACAAAGAGTTACTTGTAAAGATTTATCAAGCAAGTAGAAGAAGTTCTGCAACTCTAACAAAGTATGTGTTCAAAATATTTTGAAAATAAACACCTCCTCCTCCTAGAAAGATTACATATTAACATAGAAAAAAAATGTATGTACATGGTTGTTTCTGATAACACTTAAAAGTGAAAGTGAGTTAGGAATCATAAATTTAATAACAATGAGAAACCATCAAGTACAATTTCTGTGTGATATCACTTCTATAACAACTTTCAGTAAGATATCTGTAAGAAAAGCATGCAAACATGTTATGGGTTTTGGGTGGTGTTTTTTTGGGGGGAAATAGACCCAAACAAGACTCATCCTCCTCTTTATATCTGTCTCTGGCTTCTCTAAATGGCCTAGAAGATGGAAGAGTCAGGTGGGCCTTACTTATTTACCTATTTTAAATAAAAGTTTATCCTCTACACAGTTCAGAAAAGCCTGGCAGTAATTACAAACAACTCTTACAGCTAATTGCCTCCCATTTTAACAACAGAACCGTCTTTGACCTCTCACATTCTGTCATTTAAGGCAAAGTTATTTCTTTGTTTTGTTCCCTTAACAGAGATTGTAGCTATCCCCTGAAATTTGCACGGCAAAGGTTGCATTTGCACACTTTTCATCTCAATCAGCTGAAACACAACAGGATTTGTGCTCTTTCTCTTGGAGGTCACTGAGGGTTCTTCATGAATTAGATGAACTCTTTGGATGAGGACGATGAGTGATAAAACTTTCAGATGGCTGCAGAAATTGTGAGATTGGGATGAGGAATTGGTCATGCCCACCTCCCTAATGGCATCAGACAGAAGCATTCATCATATTTTAATTTACTCAAGTGTTTGCAACCGAGAAGGGCCAAAAGTTGGAAACTATCAAAATCAAGGTTGTAAAAATATTGAAATAGGGATTCATTCATCTGAGGAAGGGCCTCTGCATAGTCATGACAATATTAAACACTGGTTCTTATACCAAAGGCAAATACACAGAAGAGGTTTTCAGGCAGGTTACTTTCCTCACTGTGGAAAAAAAAAAAATCACTAATTACCTACAAGAACACCCCCAATCAAACAAAAAACCTAAACAAACTCAAAACTAAACAAAACCCACACTCACTTCTTGATGTATGATCGATTTGCTAGGTGAAGCATTATGAAGTATTTTATACAGTTCTCTGCTCATAACTTCCCAAATGTATTTTGAGTTGCTTTAAAAAAAAATTAAAACGAGTTTCCTCTCTGAAAACAAGTGACTCAATCGTCATACTAGTCAAAATTTCTGGTTAAAGGATGCAAATACTGTGTTTCACCTGTTTAAGCCTCTCATTTCCAAATGTTCCATCACAAACAGAGTACTGCCTCCAGGCACATCTATAACTTTGATGGGTTTAGGCACTTTTATTGTCTGCGTTTTCAAGATGGCTTCCAAACTTGCCATTTCTCCCTCAAACATTCTTCTGGCCTGCCAAATATTAAAGGAAAGCATTAGTCTCTACAAACATCAGTCCCAGGTAAACAAAGCTCTTTCACAAAACCAATCAACGCTGTAAATATTAAATAAAAAGCCTGGACCAAGCGGCTACTGCGTGTACAAGATAGATCCAAACTACCAGTCTAGACAGTCATTTTACAACTACAGAAATTTCACTTCATAAACTGACTCCGTGGAAGTGACTTAGGTTCCAGCATTCTCTGGAATGTAAAAATAACTTAGAAAGTCTGTTTACAATTGAAGACCAGCTAACTGCATACATATAAAAAGTAAGCAACATTTTATTATTGGATTATGCAGCAAAAAAATTACCTAGAAAAATATGAGCAATATACATCATCAGTTGAGAGGCTAGAATCGTGCTGACGTTCACAGTCTTCATGACTTCCCTGACACAAACTGCTTAGTAATATAACCAATCTTCAAAACAGTCTGATTTGTAGTCACAGAATGATATTCCCTGGCCTATTTTTTTTACCTCAGGGGAGGGGGGGAGAGCATCAATGACAGCACTCAAACTTCCTTTACCACACATGCACACAGAAGCCCTTAGAACTCAAGCCACTAGCAAATTCATTTGCTTTAAAGACATTTTGAATTTAGGACCTGTTCATAGAATCATAGAATTGTCCGGTTGGAAGAGACCCTCAAGATCATCGAGTCCAACCGCTCACCCTGCACTGGTGAGTCAGGCAGAGGTTGCAGAAAAAGGGTACATGGGAAATCTACACCATCTGCTAAAAGCAAGGAAATATAATGAATATAAATAGAAACAGAATGCTAGCCCTTTACTACTGTAAATGAAACACAGTCAAAGGATCATTTGCAACAGACATTGATTAAAAAGTCCAAAGTTTATAGAAGATCAAAAATTAAGAACTGATGAATTCCTGAGCCATGAGATAACCTCTGTTCAGAGGAAATCAGTAAATACTGTATTTCTGTCTAAACCATCATACTACATTAAAGCAAGCTGTTAATAGAGTAAAATCCATGGTCTTTTCTAAAGAACTTGTTTTTCCAAAGAAACTGCTGATATACACCCACTGCTGCACACGCAGCACAGCATTATAATAGTTTTGCAAAGTTTGCTTTAATCAGCACTCAGAATCCACATACAGGCAAAAGCATAGAAAATAAAATGATTACTGAACAGAAAATCTATCTAGATCTTTTCTTCCAAGCCCTATCTTGTAGCTAGCTGGACAGTAAACCTAAATGCACAATGAACAAAGGCCTAAGTGGAAGGGCTACATTCTATCAGTTCAAACTGTTTTCCATCTAATGCCTTTCTGTATTTTCCCACGTCACCACCTCAGTGCGTCCATCCAGCTCTCTGATATGATCAGAAAATTTAGACAAATTTGTGATATATGCTTTGATTTGCACACATGCTTTCAAAAACTTTTTTTTTTGCTATTAAAGGCAAATACAAGCTCTGACTTTCGTTCCTCCAGTGAAGCTATTCATTTAACAGACACAAGAGTAGAGTACCTTTAAAGTCAATTCCACCTGACCCCTGCTTTTGCAAATAAGGATGCCCTACAGGTTTGCTGCACTGTACTTATCTCTGTCAACTGCAGATACCCGCCTTCTGCAGTAGCTGGTGCCCGGTATCAAAAGGACAAAGCAGAGAATCTTGAAAAATTGTGGAACAATACCATTTACCGAGAAAAGCTCCTTCTTACGTTCATTTACTGGTTTCGTTAGAACAACGAAAAACGCACACCCTCAGTTGATAGTTTTCTACCTCCCAGGCTGCTCCAGACACCTTCACAGCCTGTGCAG